CTTCAGTAGTTTAGGGAGTTCGGGAATTCTATTAAGTTGCAAGAACTTTTGGAACTTTGATGAGCGCGCTCAGGGAGGGGGTCAAATGTTTTTTCTAAGATTTTACAACAAAAGTGCGTATGACGAAATAGTAGAGCATAACATTCTGTTTGTGTGGCACACTTTTTTCTACGACTTTACGCTTTACGCTTTACTTTGACACGTTAATGGACGGTTACAGAGTGCTCTCGTACACAATACACTTTGTATACGAGTATATAAAAATAATTTTTTTGTTATATTTGACCAATTTCTGCTGTTCCGATTTTTTTCTTCCAATACAATAAAATAATCCTTAAGCGAAACTAAATTTAGTCTATCATCATTAAAAAAATAGTCAATTTTACTAATTTTGTATGAAAAATATTATTAAATTTGACCAATTTCTGCGCTATTGAGGTTGAAATAAGTCTTACAAAAAACTGAATCGATCAGCACTAAAAAAATTATCAATTTTATTCATTTTTTTAACGCACACAATCAACGTTTTATGGCTAACACACGCTTGACCAAAAAATTACTATCCAAAATTGTTTTTCACAAAATTTAATTAAAGGTTCATACAAGTTCCCTGTATCTCTAATGGTTTCATTAGACTGCCCCAGTTAAAAAAAACGCTGTATACAGGCTGGAAAAAATAAATTGTAGTAGTACCAGAAATGCTTTTTTTATTTAAGCCTATACTGTTCCACTGCTAAGCAAAGGCCTCTCTCGCCCTAAATGCTTAAGATAACTAATTTTACATATAGGAATGATTGTTTTATTTTTCTTGGTATGAATAACTGCATTCACATAATTTTTGAAAAGCTTGACTGAACCGAGAATCGAACCAGAACTAAAAATGCAAAAAATAAACTCTCACTGTTTTATGGTACTAATGCATAAGATCAATAATAAGAATAAAATCCAATAAATGTTGGGTCGTACAATTAAAAACAAGCATGAAATCTAATTGTTAATATATACTTTACCGTGAAGTAAGTACACGAAGTTATTAATCACTAAATATGCAAATTGTAAACTTTTGCCGACGTGTTTTGAATATTTAATTATGTAATTGGAATCTATGTATTACATAAGAATTATGTATTAAAGTAAATAGATTTATTTAGGGTCAGTTGAGCTAAGAGGACCACCGGGGATGAGGGTCTTGAAGCCTTATTAACTCTTACTAGAGTTTAGCACTACTGTATCTCGGTCAATAAAGTGGATACCTACAAGTCATGTATTAAGACTTAAAGTAGAAAATCTTATATGTAATAGAATAGAAATATATAATAGAATGTACCGTTTTCGAGTTATTTGTAAATAAACAATTTTTAGCATTTTTTAACCGCACAATACCTCCCCTGGCCCAGAAAAAATTTGCTTCTTTAAAGCAAGATAAAACATTATTAATTAAATTATTATTATTGCATTCCGATGAAGGCGATTGATATTCATTTTACACGAAAAAACGTGCAAATGCCAGTCTACGTTACGAAATAGTTAATAGATAATGTACCTACTTATTTACAATATACGTATACGCTCTTCTGCTTGTCAGGCCTAGGCCCCGTTATTGATTACTTAGTATAGATCCCCAACACTCTCTTTTTTTCAGCAGCTGTCGATTCTGTCACTGAAGACATCAATTAGCAGCTCCTTGTTGCGCGATTGACATCTTCATTAGTTAGCAATATGACTTCTAATTTGAGGATGTGCTTGCAATCAGCAAGCACCGAGGTTCTCCTGTTTATAACGTTTAGTATTGTACAAAACTTCGTTTAGCTTGTAGTAACGATGAGTGAGCTGTATTAATTTGCTAAGGTTGCACGTGGCAAGTGAACACTTCGGGAAAGTTTGTGAAAAAGGGATTGCGCTTATTCACTGACAAATACCTAATATTAATATGAATTTAAGCAAAGTGGTGCATTTTCATCAATATTCAATTGTAGGTACAATCGGTGCGTACAAGTATAAATAATAGGGGTTTAAATATGGAATAGCCGATTTATCGTACTGGCCACTTTGAATTAAAATCAAACCTGCACGGTGTCGGATTTCAGAATGAAACTTTTTCACACGAAAACTAAAACTCAAACATTCTTAATTTAAAAACAAGATATGTATTGTTTGATTGTTCGACTTTCAATTGTTTTTACGGCTTTTATAAGATTAAGATGGATAGGTGCAGTGAAAATCAGAGTGATTTTCGAGTACGAGTTCTTACATTGGGTTAACGCTGCAAAAAATGCTCGCAATGTCATTGCTGTGTTTGGAGAGGATACGGCTAACGAACGCACCGGGCGTTTTTCGACAACTTTCGAAATTTCGACTTGAAGAATGAACCACGAGGAAGACAAGTCACTAAGGTGAATAACGACGAATTAAAGGTGACGATGGAAGGCAATCCGTATCAAACTACCAAGAAATTAGCGGCATGGTTTAATGTATACCCACAATATGACATATGGCATTTGAATAGGTAATGGTCGCGATACTCGCAGCAAAACAGCTTCACCATTATTGCTTCATCATAATGCAAGGCCTCACATTGCTCGACAAACAGTTTTAACACTACAAGACCTGCAGTTACAAACCATCCGTCATCCTACATACTCGCAGGACCTCGCCCCAACCATTTACCATTTTTTCCGCGATTTGGACTATATTCTGCACGCAAAAAAATATATTCCCAGGAAGCAGTACAAAATGCTTCACACAGTTTGTGGAGTTCACGTCCCCAGAGTTCTATCGCAAAGGTTTAAATGACCTTCCGATTAGATGGCAGAAATGTATAGACAACCATCTAACCAACCAATAAAAAAAACTATCACATTAAATATGTCTAATTGTTGTGATTTTACATTCAATTTTAATTAAATAATCGTTTATTTGAAATATTGCTGTTTAATTTCCTCGCAGTCGAAGTGAAAAGCAGAGTGTATAACTCGTAAATAAAACCCATTTTATCCTCGACTTAATATACTCGTCTCAGGTAAAATGACGCGTTTTATCCACTTGTACAATCTACTATGGTTAAACAAATATATTTTACCTTAGAAAAAAAATTGTTTTAATTTTTCAGTACGAAATGTGTAGACATTATTTATGAAGGAATACCTACTACATAAATTTAAAAAAAAGCATATCGCAAAGCAAGCTGTCAGGGCAGTGAGGGGATCACGACAATTGCCACCGTCTGCACCCAGTTTGCCGATACTTGAACGCTCAAACGAGCGCCATAATGTGCAAAATATTTTTACGAGCCATGCTTAAACGTAACCCAATTGATTTTTAGCAGCCGGTGCCACAGCATGCCCGCGCAGCGGTGCGCCCACTCCGATGGAGGGCTTACGTACACTCTGGTCGTGCCTAAGAAACAAGTTTTTGTGAGAGTATCGCTGTCGAATCTAAACTATATTATGTGGTAACTTCATTTACCTCCTCGACAGTAAGCTAGGAAGGCAGATCTTTCGTACCCAGTTGTCTACGTACCTATATCAACTTAGTTTCGATCGTACGTCCGTCCTCTACGAAGCGAACTCTGTCACGGAAATGGAAAAGCGTGATAAGTTGGGAGTAAAAGGAAAGAGTTGATATACTGATGACTACACGAGGGTCGATCAGGGCGGGCGAGAGGCGCGGCGAGGCGGCGGCGGCGCGCTGGGCGGGCGGCGGCAGTGCGCGGCGCGCGCGGCTCCCGACCACTCGCCCCGTCCGCATCGGCCCCGCGGCCGGCCCCACGTGCGGCCCCGTCGCGCACACGCGCCGCCACCGCCGCCGCCTCGTGGGGCCCCCACACGCACACCCGAGCCCTTTGAACTCCAGAGCCTCCACGAAACAACGATATATTGCCTTTTGACGCGGCAAATAAGTACTTAACACTGCATATACCATAGTAGCATCTTTTTATGCTTACTACTAAACACTTTTAAACTTTTTATTCGGATTAAAATAAGTTTGCACATAATTGTAATTACCAAATTATTAAGCAATCTGCAATTATACAACTTTATCCAAACTTTATACCGGATACCTACTCCCCTCAAAGAACTAATAAACGATAGGAGCGCATAATATCGGTGTACCGACACTTAATAATTATGTATCTGCGTCATAAGGCTGTATGTAGATCGATACACATTTATTGTAAGTATAGCGTCGTAACGTATCCTCTCGGGAACCCGTTCGTGCGTCGTGGACCATGTGGCCCTATAGTTTTATATATGCCGGGGAGCGCCTACATGTATGTATACGGCCGGTACGCGAGTACACTTCAAATAAACGAACAAGGCGTTACTTGTACGCTAAGAACTAATTAAACTCTCAAAAATGTTTCGAGCATGTATCCAATTTTGACGCGACTTTTCAATAAGCGACTTCACGTGGCCGGCCACGTAGGAGGCTGTGCTAGCGACGGTCATTTAAACGGTAGAGAAATCATCCTCCACTCCGACACGAAGACTAGGCGGGCCTGCATGCATTTGTCTAAACAAAAGGACTTTTAACGCCTAAGTGAGAATCAAAAGCAGTCGTATAAGTCTTACGAAGGTTACGTACGCAGCAGTCTCTAAACAAAAACATTTTACGAGAGGCAATAAATGTGGAGCTTCGAACTCGCAACAGGGCGAGAGAGCGGCGCGGGCGGCGGGCGCGCTGAGGCCACGCCACACTGGAGGCGCTCCGGCGGCACTCGCGGCAGATCGCCGCGCGCCGCGTCCGCCGCGTGCAGGTGAGCCCTCGCCGCGGAGCGCCGCTCCCGCCCGGCGGCACCAATCGAATCTCCTGTTGCAGTTCTCGGAGAGGCCGCGGGATGGCGCGCGCGGCGACGGCGCCGGTAAGTGCACCTGGAGCCTGTGCGCGTGCGCCGAGTTGCTGCTGTTTACGCGCTCTAAATATAGCGGCGCTTCCCGTCCGCATTGTGCGGCGGTGAGTGTAGCGCCGGCGCGGGCGGCGCAGTGCGCGAGGCGGCCGGGCTGCGCCGCCCCGTGCTGCGGCCGCTGACCGAGGTGCGTTGCAGAGAGCGGCGGCTCCGAGATGTCGGCGGGCAGCGGCAGCGGCGCGGGCGCCGCCGTGGATGCTCGCCGCCCGTCCACCTGTCGCGTGGAGCTGGGTGCGCTGCTGGCGCCCGAACCGCGCCCCCTCGATAACAAAGTCAAGGTGAGCGTCCGAGACCTACTGCTGTAGCTTCCCAGCAAACCGGTCTACAAATTTAGTGCTGCAAACTCTTAATTTCTCATTTCATCCAATACTTCGGTATATAAATCGTAGCTTTAAGTAATATGTAGAAATTCAAGACCGTTGGGTAATAGAGTCCAGAATGTAATATATAGGTAATCGAATCCAGATTTTATACGACCCGAACATCGTTTGCTTACTATCCGATTAAACCAGTAAGTAGGTAAGGACAGCTTAATGGATACGACAGAACAGCGATATTCGTGGTTTAGTAGGTCAACGTAGATGATTTACGCGCTTGCGACGATGATGCCGCTCATATCGTAACGTAGACTCGGTCAATGGTGGTAGCGGCGACTGCTACTGCATTGCTCTCCACTTGTAAAGTGGCCGCGCCTCAATGTCGCGGTTCCTCGAAGCCGAGCGTCATGTTCACTTTAGCAAATGGAGAAGCAATTACGGGGAGGATGGCGGATGGTAGGTGGGTGTTTCGCGGCCCTCACGACCTATTTGCATAATGAGTAGCGGCACCGTGGGCCGTCGTCGGCATTCGCCGGGCACATCTATACAACCGACAAAAGCACTACTAGACAGGGAATCGGCCCGATCTATCAATATTTCATACAAACTTCGATAGTTGTTGTCGACAATCTGAAGGTGGGGGCATTCGTTAAAGGAAGAAGGGGAGCGTGTCAACAAGTGACCTATTTCAGTGTTTATTGACATCGGCCGACGATAAGCAGATGATACTATCGCGCGATGTCCCCCGCCCCGTCGCAGTCCTTCGCCTGCGGAAAATAATAGCCTGCAATACACGTATATCATAAAGATTTATTTATTACCTGTAATTGCTAAATATACAAATAGCGAGCAGTACTTAACTGGAGAACTTGCACTTTCTTTCCTTCTCGTGCACCGCCGTTCATGTCGCGATCGAGACCGTATACCTACACATGTAGTGCACATGCAGTCACACGGAAAGATTAGGTACAGTCGCGCTCAACTTTTATTGCGTAATAGGTACCTATAGCCTGCTGTAGTACCTACCTTACTAATTAATAATAGTGTATAGGCACATAAGTACCTACCTACATTCTTAATGTTTTAAGATGAAATATACAACAGCTGATATACCTATGTAGGCAAGTGTTTTTTAACAAACGGAACTAACTGTTGACGAATATGCATGAGCGCAGCGGCACAGCATCCATGGCATGACAGAGGAGGAGAACGTGGTGCGGCCACACCAGGAGATGGCTGTGCTGTCCCTCGAAGAGAAGAAGTTCCTACTGGGTGTGGAACGCGGCGACGTGGCGGGCACGCGGCGGGTGTTGCAGCGCGCCAAAGACACGCATCACATCAACGTGGACTGTGTAGACCCACTCGGCCGCTCGGCGCTTCTTATGGCCATCGACAATGAGAACCTCGAGATGGTCGAGCTGCTGCTGGAATTCGGCGTAGAGACACGCGACGCGTTGTTGCACGCCATCTCCGAGGAGTTTGTCGAAGCTGTTGAGGCACTGCTCGATCATGAGGAACGCACGCGCAAGCCGGGCGAGCCGAACGTTAGTATATCTATTTATTTATGCCACCGCGCCCGCTAGCGTCCTTTATTTAATAGGCTCGTGTTCGTTTGCAGAGCTGGGAAGCGCTGCCCCCGGAGACGGCGACGTTTACTTCAGACATCTCGCCGCTCATCCTGGCGGCCCACCGCGACAGCTACGAGATCATCAAGCTGCTACTGGACCGCGGCGCGGCGCTGCCCGTGCCGCACGATGTGCGCTGCGGCTGTGACGAATGCGTGCACTCACGGAACGAGGACTCGCTGCGCCATTCGCGCTCGCGCATCAACGCCTACCGCGCACTAGCCTCGCCCTCCCTCATTGCACTCTCCTCAAAGGTGATCTTCCTTCGGCCAAGACGGCGCAGTGCGTGCGGGTAGTGTGCGGTGCAAGTTTAGTCTGTATGTGTAGGACCCCATCTTGACGGCGTTTGAGCTGTCGTGGGAGCTGCGGCGCTTGTCGGCGCTCGAGCACGAGTTCAAGACTGAGTATCAAGAATTGCGCGTCCAGTGCCAGGAGTTCGCCACGGCTCTGCTTGATCACACGCGCACGTCTCACGAACTTCAGGTTTCACATGATTTAATACCTTAGCAGTAGGTCTTTAGTGAATTTATAATAATAATTATCTTTGGTGAATTTGACGAATAGGTGGAGGGTCATATTTTGAGATTATTATTTATACGATATGTTTGCCGGTTTGAATATAATTAAGAAATATGTAGTTATTTTGGAAACAAATAATTGGATATATTTCGGTGTAATATTAACATGTGTGCGCCAGGTGTTGTTGAACCACGAGACGGGCTCTCCGCAGGCAGCGCCGACGGAGCCCGGCGCACCAGAGCTCATGCGTCTGTCGCGGCTCAAGCTCGCCATCAAATTGCGTCAAAAGAAAGTAAGACCGAGCCGTAAAGGTGTTTTTAAACCGATGAGGCGAGACGAGGGTTGAAATTTGTATGGCAAAATTTCAATTATCTCCTAGCGCATCTTCGGTGGTAATGGTCTGGGATGAGATAGACGAGGATGGGCAAGGCGAGAATTTAACATTTGTTGATGTAATATTGAACCGTATTCCTGCCTACATGGAATATTATATACTCTGCAACGAAAACCCGATTTTTAGCGCGAGCTCGCGATCGGTATTACCTAATATCAATCGCGAAATTGTGGGGTACATACTTTTAGAAATTTATCGGATTCTTCTTCCGTTAACATATTTTATAATAATAATAATTTACGGGACATGTTACTTCAGTTGCGTGTGTATCGCTAGACGAACTGAATAGCACTGAACATTCACAGCGCGGGGTTATTTATTAGAGGCAGCTATTTATTAGTGGCAATGTTTGGTGGAAATAGGCCGGCGAGATTTCAATTCTCATCTCGCCTCGCCAGTGGAAAAACATTTTAAAATGTGCTGTAATATTCGATTGTCGTGATGTGATGCGTGACATGCGTGTGCGCAGTTCGTGGCACACCCGAACGTGCAGCAACTACTGGCGTCCATCTGGTACGAGAGCGTACCGGGCTTTCGTCGCAAGAACATGCTGCTGCAGGCATTGGAGATGATGCGTATCGGCGCCATGTTCCCGCTCTACTCGCTAGCGTACATCGCGGCGCCGCATTCGGCAGCTGGCCGCACGTTGCGCAAGCCCTTCATCAAGTTCCTGTGCCACTCGGCCAGCTACTTCATGTTCCTCTGTATGCGACCGCCTCTCTCTGTCTTGCACTCGCACATGTTGAATGCCACAGAGAGAAGCGGTAGCGTCGTTAGCGTGCGCGTCTCGTATTGCAGTCCTGCTGATCCTAGCGTCGCAGCGCATCGAGACGGCGGCCAGCGTGTGGGGTGGCGCACCCGGCGGCGGCACCACTCCGGTTTATCGTCGCGGCTCCGGACCCTCGCCAGTCGAGTGGCTCATCCTCGCCTGGGTCAGCGGTCAGTTTTCTCCGGGCAGTTATCCTCAGGTGCCGTTTATTTTTTCTTGAGCTAACGGTGACTATCGCTATGCGCCGCAGGACTTATCTGGAGCGAGGTGAAGCAGCTGTGGGATATGGGGTTGCGCGAGTACGTGCACGACATGTGGAACGTGATCGACTTTGTCACAAACTCTTTGTATGTCGCCACAGTCGCGCTGCGCGTCGTCTCCCATTACCAGGTGCGTCCACAATTGCATAAATATTAAGTAATTTACACGAATTGGTGTTAGGTACTACCTACTCGTGAATAAAATAAGTGTAAGTATTGGTCGGTTGGGTTGATCATTGCACAGGTGCAGACCGAGAAGATGCGCGGGCAGCAGTGGAATCAGCCGCGCGAGAAGTGGGACGCATGGGATCCTATGCTGCTCTCGGAGGGGCTGTTCTCCGCCGCCAACATTTTCTCCAGTCTCAAGCTGGTGTACATCTTCAGCGTCAATCCACACCTCGGGCCGCTGCAGGTGTCGCTAAGTCGCATGGTGCTCGATATACTCAAGTTCTTCGTGCTCGATATACTCGTCATATTTGCTTTTTCCTGCGGTAAGTATGCTTTTAAACAGAGTCGGTTTTACCTATGGTGCAGGATGTGCGGCGCACACGGGCGCAGGGTTTTAGGGGGCGCCGAGCGCCGGCCGCGACGCCTCCAGAGCCTGCGTCACAAGCGAAGTGAACGCGCTATTGTTCCCAACATCATTTATAACTGCACCATTTGCACTCGAATTTCCGATCACTGGGCAAAATATAACTGCAAGTATTCCATTTTGATCGCGTGCCTGATAGAGTGCGCCAGGGTAATGATTGCACCCGGGCGCTGTATGGGCTGGTGCCGGCGCCGTTTTTAAAATTTTGCTTAAAATGACTGCGATTTATTGAACACTTTGTGAGAAAGCTGAGTAAGCGTTGTGCAGGCCTGAACCAGCTGCTGTGGTACTACGCGGATATGGAGAAGAAGAAGTGTAACACTGCGACCGTGCCCGTTAACGGCACCATGCCCGATCCCGACGCGTGTGTCGTCTGGCGTCGCTTTGCCAAGTTAGCATGTTTTATTTCATTAATTTACTTACTCTATCTGTACATCTCGCTTTAGTTAACTTGACGACCTCCGCATCAAACGTAACACCTACAAGAAACTGAAATAGGACAGAGTGCAAGGTAACAGCAATGGTCGGGGCTCCCATTCAGTCCGTATTTTTTTGGATATTATGTAGACTTGACGGTTGTCGCTGCAATGCGTGCTGTTGTATATAGGTACGTAGAAAAATAATAATTATTAAATTCTTTATTCAGGCATTACAAAAATAATACATTTTGAATACCCATTAACAAAAATATTAATAATTCTTAGATAATATAGAATAAATTATAAATTATAGGAAGCAAGAAAATAAAAAATGACCTAAAAAACAAAAAATATAAAATACTAACCGCCGGCTGTATATGAGTTTACAGTAAGACCAGGATTATAACTACCCTATCAAAGTCTAACTGTGACACTTCAACGATCATGCCTATACATGATCCATGAAGTGTAGCTCTACAATCTAAAGGTTTAAGGCTTAGTCAACGACGACGTAAATAGACGGGGAAATATGCGGAAACTCACCAAGAGACGTACCTAACCGACAGACGGAAATTGAGAAGAATTAAGCAGTACCTGCCAAGCAGGCCCGCAAAATTGACCTACTGACGGCTAAAGGTGTCTCGGCCGCAGTGAGATGATCAGCAGAATGAGATGAATTAGACTAATATACCTAAATTAAGTTTTTTTAGAGCCATTGGGCGCTGCGAGTCGACGAATCTATTCGACATTGCAGCTTGTTCGAGACGATGCAGACGCTTTTCTGGGCGGCCTTCGGACTGGTAGACTTAGACTCGTTCGAGCTGGACGGCATCAAGGTGTTCACACGCTTCTGGGGCATGCTCATGTTCGGCACCTATGCCGTCATCAACGTGATCGTACTGCTCAATCTCCTCATCGCCATGATGAACCATTCTTATCAGCTCATATCCGTGAGTACCCTCTCTACGTCCCGAATACTGGTACGCTACAGTCACTTAGAGTACTAGTAACGAATTCTACTAAAGTGGCTCCGATCTGGGTTTTCCGAGTCGCGCCCTGCTACGACTCGAGGCCAGAAGACGGGAGCGAGTGTTTGCAAGGTCGTCATTTGACGTGTCGCGTCTGCGATGGGACAGGAGCGTGCCGACGTGGAGTGGAAGTTTGCGCGGAGCAAGCTGTGGATCAGCTACTTCGAGGAGGGCGGCACGGTGCCTCCGCCGTTCAACGTGGTGCCCTCGCCCAAGTCGCTGCTGTACACGTGGCGCTGGCTGCAGCGGCGCCTGTGCGGCCACGCGCGCGCCAAGCGGGAGCACATGCGCACCATCCGGGTACGTGCCCCGCACTCTGGCCGCGTCCCTTTCGCGATCTGTAACGGGACACCGATCTGTTGGGTTCGTAAGCCAGGTTCCTCCGGAGGACGGGTAACAAACGTTTGAATACATTTGGCATTTGCAACATTTATTTCGTACGTTTTAGATCGAGATTACTCACTTGTTGCACACAGTTGTGAGCCAAACGGGTCACTGTAGCAGGTTTTTGTTGTGGACAACCTTCGGTGTAAAGTGAAACGATCACTAGTTTCAAAACGCGTAAATGGCAAATTTAACGTCGCGCGCGGCACCGCTCAATGCCCGCTATATGTAATAAATCGTTCGCTTTCAGAGGAAGGCGAAGCAGGCCAACGAGCGGGATTTCCGATACCAGGTAACTGCAGGTTGCTAGCTTTCACCGCGAGTGAGCTCAGGAACGTGCGAGGCGACGCGGGCGTGCGGTGCGTTGCAGGCCATCATGCGCAACCTGGTCCGGCGCTACGTGACCGTGCAGCAGAGGCGCGCCGAAAGCGGCGGCGTGACCGAGGACGACGTCAACGAGATCAAGCAGGACGTCAGCGCGTTCCGCTGCGAGCTCGTCGAGATCCTGCGCAACTCCGGCATGAACACCTCCACCGCCAACGCCGGCGCGCCCGGTGAGTGTCCGTGCCCGCCCGCGGCGCCGGCCCAGCCGCCTCCGCTGACGGGCGCGTCCGGCCGCAGGCGGCGGCGGCGGCAAGAAGAACCGGCAGAAGGAGCGCCGGCTGATGAAGGGCTTCAACATCGTGCCGGGGGGCACGCTGGCGCCGGTGGACGAGTTCCTGGCGTCGCTGCACCACGAGCACGGCGGCGCGCACGGCGCCTCGCACCACCCGCTGTCGGCGCTGCTGGGCGCGGCGGGCGGGCGCCTGCGCAACAGCCAGTCCAGCCTGTCGGACGCGGCGCCCGCGCAGCGCCGCGGCAAGCCGCACAAGCGCCGCTGGGGCACCATCATCGACGCGGCGCGCGCGGCGCGGGTGTCGCGCCTCATCGGCCGCTCGCGCTCCGAGGACTCCGTGTGCGACCACGCGCGCCAGTCGCCCAGGTGAGGCCGCGGCCGCGCCCGCCCCGCCGCCCCGCCGCCCCGCCGCCCCGCCGCCCCGCCGCCACTCGCCCTTGTTGCAGCGGCAGCGAGCGCTCGGACTCGGGCAGCGACTCGCAGCGCAGCCCGGAGCGGCCCGGCCCGCTGCACCCGCTGAGCGCGCTGGCGGCGCTCAAGCGCAAGCGCAAGAAGTTCTCGGACTCGCGGCGCGCCGCCGACGCGGGCCCCGAGGCGCTGCAGCGCGCCAGCTCCGTGCCCGCGCGCCCGCCGCCGCCCCCCGCGCCGCCGCCGCCCGCCGTGTCGCCCTCCACC